GTCCCAGTCTGGTAGCTGCTCGCTGCTCTGGAAGCTGGTCCCAGTCTGGTAGCTGCTCGCTGCTCTGGAAGCTGGTCCCAGTCTGGTAGCTGCTCACTGCTCAGACTTCGCCCATAGAATTTCATCCTGGTTATATTTATATTGTGTAAAGGCTGGAATTTCACAAAGTGGACAGAGACGGCAAGAAATATGAACATTCTTCCGGATATGTAGCATTAGCTATTAGTGGATATGTAGCGTTAGCTGCTTAAGTTTGCTGGAAATGTTTTCTTGCAGTGAGTTTTGTGACAGTGATGCGCATTTTCCTGGGACTTTGCGGGGGGAGCCTGGTTTTTGTGGGGGATGTACTTGCCCAGGAATGAATTCATGGTCTTAAGTAATTTCAAGTTCTCCTTAAGTCTCAGGTTAATTTTAATTGCTTTGGTTAACAGTATTACTAGTGACACATGACGGTTAACTCCCCTTTTTAGTTGTGCTGTTTTTCTGAAAAACAATTCATGCACCACCAATATGGTGAACATGGTGACGAGAGCCTTTCTCTGACAGTGATTCTGCAGCATTGTCCTTAGTGTCCCAGCCAGCTATAATACTCATGTTTGTTTTGTCTTCCTGTCTTTAAAGGCCATTATTTATGAAGGTCAGGACAAGAACCCCGAAATGTGCAGGGTGCTGCTGACGCACGAGATCATGTGCAGGTAAGAACGCTGTAACCCTAACCCTAACCCTAACCCCCACACAAACGGCACACACCCGTCCTGAGACTCACAGCCACTCCTCGGGAAGGGTCTTCCCCAAGAATGACAATGAGTGGGGCGCAACCTTGTCTGATGGGCCACAGCTACAAACGACCCAGGGTTCCTGTCCACATTGACTTCGCCGCCATCTTTAATGCAAGTGGCGTTTCCCATAAGGCCATGCTGCCAGTCTCTCACTGTCTCGAATCAGGTCAACACCAGAAGCCTGAGATAAAGAGAGAGCTAATGGCAGAGGACACTGCATCTTTAATTATAATCCAAAGATGAATCTCTCCTGCGTAAAACTGGGTTGTGAAGTTAAGCTGCCGTCCGTCTTAAGAATACTGGATAGCATGATTTTTTTTTTCTCCCAGAAATATGGTACTTGTACATGGTTAATTAGGACAAGAGAACCTCGTAGCTGCCTCGTCTCTTGTTGTTCTTTTGGATGTTCTTTTCGATTGTAATGTGCTTTGAGGCCTGACGATGAAACGCGCACGCCCACACGCCTGGAGCGGGACTCTCGTGTCATGTGATGGGAGATGGCGAATTCCCAAATGCTGGGTACTGGGTAACTGGTCGTCAGGCCCGGGATGCTGTTAGGGAGAAAGAAACACTCTCACACCTGCCTTATCTATAAAAAACAGGAAGAGAGACGTTCACGGCCTTCCTCTCTTTCAGTGTGTGTGGAGTGTGGTCCACAACCCCCAGAGGGGATATAATTCATATACACTAATGCTTGCCCTATGACGGGGCCTTGTGTGGGGTGCATTCTGCCTCATGGCCTTTGGACCAGAACGGGCTTCAGTCCAGCGCAGCCCTAAAGTAGATTAATGGCAGAGAAAAATGAATGGATATTTACAGATGTTTACATTTGTGTATGTGTGTGTGGTTTAGGAGAAATGTCCCCACGATGTAATAAAAGCCTGTTTTTTGATGTTGTGGGGAGCATTTTTCTGGTCCCCACAAAGATCTGTGAATGCAATCAAAAAAAATAAAAATTCCAAAAGTCTCGTATTTTGTTCAGTTACTTATGGTTAAGCTTAGGGCTGGGTAGGGGTTAAGGACATGATGTTGGGATTAAAGTTTCCCCCATATAAATGAATGGAGAGTCCCCACAAAGATATAATTACAAACCTGTGTGTTTGTGTGTGTGTGTGTGTGTGTGTACGCATGCGTATGTGTGCGTACGGATAGGAGAAACTGAAGAGGGGCTTTTTGGGGCGTCTGCTCCCCCCAGAACTCCCTCCCCCACCCCTCCCTGTCTGTCTGTGCTGATTCTGCACTGGGGGGGTGCAAACACGGTCTCAATTATAAGCATAAAATTAGAGTCTGTTCACCATTAATCAGTACTGCTAATTGCCACGCTGTGCCATTAGCCATATGGTGCCCAGCCAGCTTGTAACCGTGGAACAGAAATGCTTCGTCTTTTATTGTCAAACATGAGCAGCGCAGACGAGGGTGGATGCGACTCAGTTGCTTGTCAGAAAAGCAAGTTTGTGTGTTTTTTTATGTTTTGAAGTGAGTCTCACGTTTGTGGGGGCCGAAGCATTGTGTTTTATTTAGCTGTTTCTCGTGTGTGGTGTGAGATGTGTGCCCCAGCCATCTGCCCACATCTAACTGCACGGCGCTCCTTCACAAGCGCTACCTGGAAGCAGCCTTTGAGAGTGGCGTCCTACGGGATGTGTGCAGGATGTGTATGGGATGTGAATAAAGAGGAACACAAACATTTCCCAAACAAAGCTGTTGTATGCATGTACTAATTAGCATGCATTTTTTTTGTTGGGGGGGGGGTTAGGATTCAGATAGAGCTCTTGTGTCCCATGGGTGCAACCTGATGATTGGATTATTGGGAGGAGGCAAATGACAGCGGCCTGCACCCCGTCCTGTGGGAGCTGTGACCCAGTTCTGAGAGAACTGCCAAACAGGAACAAGGATGTTCCTACTCAAGGAGGGATGTGTGGAAGAAGAGAGACAAAGCTATAGAGGAGGAGAGGAAGGGAGGTAAAGAGTGAAAGGAAGAAAGGTGGGGAGGGGGAGGAAGAGAGGAGGAGAGACAGAAAGAAAGGAAGAGGGGAGAGAAAATGGAGAGGATGAGAGAGGAAGAAAGGGACAGAAAGGGAAAGAGAGGAGGTGAATATAAGGAAGAGAGGGATGGGGAGGGAGGGGAAGAGGAGGAGAGTGAGAGGAAGAGAAAGGGGGAGAGAGGAGAGGATGGGGAAGGAAAGGAGAATGAAAGAAAAAGACAGGAATAAAGGAGAAGAGTCAGGAAGAGAAAATGAGAGACAGATAAAAGGGTGAGGAGGAAAGGGGAAAATGAAAGTGACACCGGAGGTAATGAGGAGGAGGGAGAGAGAGGGAAAGAGTGAGAGGAGGAGAGATTGAGGTGGAGAGAAAATGAGGGAGCATTGTGCAGAAGCACTAAGTAGAGACAGGATGAGAAAAGGGAGACAAAAGTGGCCCTTTTGGGGCGTCGGGAGCCCGCTGCAGGGCTGCGGGCACCGATGGCCTCGTGGCGCAGCTCCTGCGCTGAGACAATGCCCATGGTGTCATGTGACGGCCTCACTGGCGGCCCGTTCACGTCCGTCTGCCATCTGCACAGATGAAACGTGAGCTGGGGTCTCTTCCTGCTGTTCAGGACCCCAGCCCCCTCCCATAATCCTCTGCCCCCACCCACCCAGCCTCCTCTACTCCCTTCTGTCCCTTTGACTCCAAAGGGGTGTCAGGTGAACATTCGGACTCATTACCTGCCTGAGGTGTCGTTGGGAAAACACCCCCCCCCCACCATCCGGAAGCCCCTGCTGCCCCCACCCTACTCCTGTCGTCAGCAGCAGACTTGCTGCTGTGTCTTAGATGGATTGCCTTTGTGATGCTGTAAGCGACCCATATGTGACAGTCATAACAAGGGGACAGAGGGGACACCCCCCCTTCAGGTGACGTCTGGCCCACCAGAGAGGGGACTGGGAGAGAAAAGCTCGTAATTGGTTTCCTCCCTTCACCCACAGCCCGATCACGGGGTCAACGCCGGGGTCAGCACTGACATATGTAAAACAGCGCCAGGTTAACCGCTCTCTCTCTCTCTCTCTCTCCCAGCCGCTGTTGTGACAAGAAAAGCTGTGGTAACCGGAACGAGACGCCCTCTGACCCCGTCATCATCGACAGGTAAGGGCCTCCCTCATCCGCCATTGGCCGGTTGCTGACTCTGCTGTGTGCCGTGAGCTGATTGTACAGGATGGGAGTTTGGGGGGGGGGTGCTTTGTCATGATGATAAAAAGCCTATCGTTGCCATGACGATAAAAAGCATGCTCATGTACTGGCTCACTTTATTCGTCCAGTAATACAAAAGTTGGGCTTGGTAGCAGATGATGTATGGTGGCCCCTAGAGCATGACAACGCTGTGGGGTGGAGAACATCTGGGAGCGTTATTTGACGGGGTCAACGGGATCAAAATCCTGCACTGGGGACGCAAGAGCTTCGCCTTTCTCCTACTCAGACATTGCTGGCCTTATCAAGAAGGTGTTCAGGAGCATTTGCTCCAAGGGAGTGCTCTCCTTGATTGCCAGACTGGGCTTCAGGAGATAATTGCTGTTCAGCTGATGACAGTGCAGGTCATGGTGCTGTGACGGCCCATGGACGTCATTGACGGTTGTGTTGTGTTGGCCGGTCATGGTGCTGTGAAGGCCCGTGGACGTCGTTGATGGTTGTGTTGTGTTGGTTGTTGGGTTGATGCCATACTGACAGCAAACTGGCCAATGGACAACTTGGGAGATGGCAGAGTGAGTGATAGAGCTGGGACAGGGTTCAAGGAAGCTGGTTCCTGCTGATCACCTGGTGATCGACCAGAGAGGCACTGAGGATGTGTGAGTGGGTCAGGCAGCATCTCTGCATTACTGTTAATTATCTGGAAGGCATATATCCGGGAAAAAGGTCAAGTGACCCCCACCATCACCACAGCCCCTCAACTCAATGCAAATCAAAGCTCGTCATTTCAAAGAATTCACACTGGCTGGAACACGTCGAGAGGAAAGTGGCCCTTTGTGTCCCGTGGGCCGGGGGAGTGGCTGTTTACACGCGAGAAGCCGGCTGCTGGGTCTTGGGCCTCTGCTGGTGCATCACTCTTTATGAGGCGCGATTCTGGGAGGGAGGGTTGTGGTGGCGACGGTGGCAGCAGAGCCGGTGGTGGTGATGCTGGCATTGCACATGCCCATCTCCCTGTGTCTGTTACACCAGTTATTTATATATAACCCCTTTCCACACCTTCCCAAAATGGTACCGTTAGTAAACAGGCCACTTCCCGCTGACAGAGAAACAGGAATACTCTGTGGATATTCTTCCCCCACGGACCCGAGGAGATGTCCGCCCCGGGGCGCTCCCCGTGACCGCCTGCCCACACGCTAACAAGCGTCAAAGGCGCCGATGCTGATCGCCCATCCTGGCTGGCGTCTGGGCCGGGGCGGGCTACCTGGCCGTCATGTCCGCGGCTCTGAGCCTCCTTCTGCTTCGCTGGAGCGGAACGGGCCAGAGCTGCCGGAGACAGCTGCAGGTTGCAAAGCACCGGCGTCCCTGCAGGGTAAATGAGCTTCCCGGCCAGTAGCACCGCTCGGCCTGCCCCCAGCACCCCCTCTCGCTAGGAGGCCTCACATCTGTAATCACCCTGCTTCCATCGTGCTATTGTGCTGATCCTGTACCGATGCTGGTGATGCTGGATTAAAGGGGTTCAGTTAGTGCCAGCGATGAGTGCAATGACATAATATTAGGTTTCCTTGTTAATCGTNACACACACACACACACAGACGCATGCGCACACAGACACACACACACACAGAAACACACAGATACACAGACGCACACACACACAGACACACACACACACATACACAGACACACATACGCACACACACACACACAGACAGATACACAGACGCACGCACACACACACAGACGCACGCACACACACACAGACGCACACACAGACACACACACACAGATACACAGACGCACACACACACAGACGCACACACACACAGATGCACACACACACATACACACACAGTCACATGCACAGACACACACACACACATGGGACTCGAGGTGTGCATGCTGAGCTCTTCACGCCTGGACCGCTCCATATGTGCACCTCGGTGGGGGGGTCTGGCCGCCTCGTGCCGTGACCCATTGTCTCGTTGCACTTCCTGCGGGGAAAGGTCAGCGTGGCGCGGCTCGGCGCGGCTGCAGCGCTGCATTATTCATGCCATTGACTTTGTGTCAGCTTTCACAGTCGTGTGGGGATGTTTTATTCATTTATCTCATTTAGGGTTCCTGCCTGCACCTGTTCTACCATTAAGCTCCCAGTCATTTGCATTTGATGCTAATTTGGTTTACTGGCGGCCCCACCCCCCCACCCCCCCCGGTAATTTCATTTTCATAGAGCACAGCACTCATCCCCCCCCCCCCCCCCCCCCCCCCCCCCATCAGGTTGGCACAGTGAATCACAGTTCAGGTGGCCAGGCAGATCGATGCTAAGTTAAAAGTAAAAAGCATAAAGTTCCCTTTCTTCCACATAACATGCTCCTCCAGGAGGGAAAAATAGGTCATGTGAAAACAGGAAAACAAGAGGCCCGTCAGCACTGATGGTCCACTGTATACTTACCAGTTAGGTTCACCCCACAAAACAAAGAACTTGCTAGCCAAAACACTCAATTAGGAATTATTATTTCCCCCAAACACATAAAAAAAACATTTCCAACCTCGATCTTCCCTTGAAGTTATTTAGTTCAATAAATAAGAGCTCATTAGAGTGCTCTTGTTTCAAAGAGATGATTAGATTTTACAGCAGTAATTAGCCAGGCTAGCACTAATTCTTCTGGATGAGTAATGAGAGTGATTTTCTAATTAGATTTCTCTCATAAGACACCAGAATAGGCCAGTCCTGAAAAAGCCACGGAATGTTGAAAAATAAAGTTAGCTAATGATTGCTTATTATATTGTTATAAGAACAAATCAGAGATTTGTGGTGCATTGGGGCACCACATCGCTAGCGTGGGGGGTGGGGGGGGTTGGGGCTGGCGTGTCACAGACTGGG